AAAGTTCGGCGCAACAATTATTAACTCGGAAACGAGAAAAGCAAGGAAGCTGAAATTGCGCGAGAGTGTTTTCTGCCCACCTGCTACTCCATGAATTTAAAAAATTCAGCCCTCACGTGCGCTTATCACGTACCGTGAGTGAAAATTTTGGTGCAAAAATTACTAGCTCGGAACCAAAAAAGAGGAAGGCGGGGGAAATGAGCGAGGAGGTACATCGATTTTTGATGCGCAGCAAGAAAATTGCTGCTGAGAGGAAGTTAGCAATCTTGAACTCGACACCTAGAACCTCACCTAGACAAGAACCGGGTACCACAGTTCTCGCAGTTTGAACTCAAATCCAAAAACCCAGGCTGGAACGCACCAGGTGGGCCGGTGCGATCGTGCGTTTTTGCACTTTTCGTGCTGTAGCAAGATCGCAAGAAATCACAGTAACTAGCCGTCGAAGTTGGAGAGGTTAATTGTACAGCTATGTGATGTGTCGGTTATAGATGTCCGCTTCAGTGATCCGACAAACGGAAAGTTGCTGGTGCGCGAAAAAGGCCTAACTGGAAGAGTTAAATTTGAAATCTTTTAGTCGCAGATGAGCAGGGAACATCCCTTAAAATTCCAGCGTTCCAGCCTTTCTCGTTTCCAAGTTAGCAATTTTCTGCCAAAAGTTTCACGTGCCCGTAGGTGGTTCCTAGACGCTTCTAAACAACTGATTTTGAAGACTTTTAGTCGTGCACGAATATTGAACATTCCTCTAAAGTTTTAGCTTTCTAGCTTTTCTCGTCCCCAAGTTAGCGATTTTCTCTTTAAAACTTTCAGGTGTCGGTACGTGGGTCCTGAACAGCTCTTAACAATTGATTTTGGTCGTGTATGAGTAGAGAACATTCCCTTAAAGTTTCAGCTTTCTAACTGTTCTCGTTCCCGAGTTGGTGATTTCCCCACCAAAATTTCCACGTCTCCGTACATGAGTTCGGGCCGTTCTGAGCAGCTGGATTTGAAATTTTTTGGAAAGCTTTCCCCTAAATTTTCAGCTTTCTAGCTCTTTTCGTCAACGAGTTGGCATTTTTCCCGCAAGACTTTCACGTGCCCATACGTGGTTGCTGGTAAGTCCAAAGCAGCTGAATTTGAAATCTTTTAGTCAAACATGGGTAGGGAACATTCCCCTAAAGTCTCAGCTTTCTAGCTTTTTTCGTTCCCGAGTTGGCATTTTTCTCGTCAAAACTTTCACATGTCCGTACGTGAGATGTAGACGTGCATGGCAGTTGATGGGATCCCACTTAGCCCAGGAAAGACGCTGGCAAAATTTCAGCATTGAAACTTGCGTGGTTGGCGAGT